GCATTGTCCTCTGGTGTTGCCCCCAGATGCAACGTAAACTGACGAAAGCGCGCAATAAAAAGCTGATATTGCCCAAGCTCTACATCACCGAGCGGGGAACAAACACCGTCACTGTGCAGGGCGAGGGCAATTTTCAGGTCCTGTCTTTCGAGAAAAAAAAAGAAAGCGGTTATTAAAAAACCAAATGCATGAACTAAAACACTGGTTCAGAAATAACCTCAGAAGAAGCTCAGAATTCTGAAAACATGAGATTTCGTAAGCTCCAACTATAGCCAAAATTTTTTCCAATGAAGCTGGTAACTTATTATTGGATTGCTTACCAGTGGTAAGCTGGTATTTTCCATTCTTGATTTTTTTAGATTTTAATTTCGGTTTTCTTATTTAGTTACAATCACGAAAAATATGTCGAATATATGTACATATGTACACAATCAATAGTCGGACAGTTTCAAAAACTCGTCTGAGCTTTTTGGGATTTAATATCAGCGTTTTCTATATTGACGAACGAGAAGGTGGAAAAGGAAGCGAATCATCTGACAAGAGCTGCGACCGCAATACTCACATCTTCTAAGGCATTAATATTTAAAAGTCAGCTTTGAAACTTGTTTGACAGGCTGTCAGGACATGTTTACCAGCAAAGGGTAGCAGCGTTATCCAACTGACGGAAAATTTAAAACATGTGCTCCGCTCGCAGCAATCTCATTCACATGACAGACAGTTTTGCCAGAACTTTTAAAAATAAAAACTACCCTGGGACTCAGGGATTGAGAAGCGCGTTGCCATTCAAAGGAGCGCCTTAAAGCACTTTAAGGTTTTGTCGAGTTCTCACTTTTAGGCAGCCAAAAATCTGACACCGATTTAAATGAAACTGGCTTCATTTTGGCGCGTGTATGCCATGGTGCCACAACAATGGCGCAGGCCCCCTTCCCACTGGGTAGGGGAAGAAGCTTGGGGAGCGGATGTGGCAACAAGAACAAACGGTGTGTGACAGGCATGTGTGGTCTTATTTTGATGTTTTGCATAAATACATGAATACTTTTCCTTGCCAGCAATTTTAAATTAATTTTTTTGTGTCGCAAAAGTTGCTAGTCTTACGAGTGCCAGTCTGCTGCAACGGAGCCGCCTCGGCGGAGTAAGCGAGAACCTTTAGCAACCGCAATATAGACATGGTTGGCTTTACCTTTTTTCCGTTTGTGTTACAGCATGTGTCAGAGTGTGTTAGCACATAATATTTTATGTGAATTCTGATTTGCCCCTTGTGTAGATGGATATATCCTTCTGGCATATCTAGTCCTACCCACACGTCCCACATGGGCATCCACGAAAAGTTGCCATGAGATGTGATGAAGAATAAAACGAGAATGTTACCGGAAAAATATACACCCACAGGGAGGAAACCGAATATACTGCACACTTTAAATCACTTGCGGTGCCGAAATTTTGTGTTAAAAACAAGTACAAATAGACATTTTTGGCCCACTTATGCAATGATTATCCTGCTTATCATTCTCCAGCGTTAACTATAAGATGGCGTGTGATTCTGACCAACAAAGTAGGAAGAGGATTTACACTATCATTTTGTAACTTTGTTAAGATTTTGTAACTTTTTAAATATTTTTGCCACAAACCAGACAAGATTCGAAACCAGAATCGACGCACATCGACTACTCCCCACGATTTTTTGCTCCTCTCATGCTCGTTTGCCTGGTGAGCATTGTAGTTGACCTCCAGGAAATGGCATGAAAATACTTTGATGAAGTGCCCAACATTATTTTGAATCAAGCTTAGTTTTCAAATTATGAACTCATACTTCTATGCAACAAAAGTGTCGTCTTTGCAGAAGGAGCATTGTCCTCCACATTTGGACGCAGCTGATGTTCAAGATATTACTTATGTTACATACGTATTACTTATGTATGTTTTTTTTTCCTCAATTCTTATTTTGTCCCATTTTTCCAAAGAAAGACAAGAATACCATAAATAAAACTTGTTTAAAAAAGAAAGGAAAGCTAACTTGGGGCGGAGCCGAACTTGATGCACCCTTTGACCGGATTTATATCGAAAAAAATGGAATATAGTTGAAAGATCGTTATAAGAATATCATAATATAGCCAAATCTAAAAAGAATACCAAGCTTCAAGCTATATCTTAAAAAATACCAAAGTTGATATTTTTACCAAATATCAAATATCATTTCCTATCGTTCAGTTATATGGCAGCTAGAAGATATGGTGAGCCGATCGTTATGAAATTTGCTAGGTTCCATCACTGACCAAAAATAGAATCTGTACGAAGTTCCATCTTTCCAAAACACGAAAGTTTGATCATTTTCGATTGTTCAGTTATGTAGCAGCTATAGAATATAATCAGCCGATCTTTATGAAATTGTGTCTTGGTTTTTTTTTTTTAAATAGCATTCAACAAAATTCCAACTTTCTAATTCTAAAAATACCATAGTTATAGCATTTCCGATCAATCAGTTACATGGCAGTTGTACCATATAGTCGGCTGATCCCGGCCGTTCCAACTTAAATACTGCGTGCTAAGGAAAGAGGGGTGTGTGCAAAGTTAGCTTTAAAACTTAGAGACTAGTTCGCACAGAAACAGACAGACGGACATGCTTATATCAACACAGGAGGGTCGCAAATGTTTCCTTCAATGCGCTGCACACTTTTGACCAAAATTATAATACCCTCTGCAAGGGTATAAAAAAGACTCAAACTTCTATCTTCAAAAGAAAAAAAATGGTATTTTTACCAAATACCATTTTTGACCGTTCAGTTATAAGGTAACTATAGGATATAGACGGCCGATGTGAAATTAAGCATGTCTTATTATTTTTCAAAAAATAGTATCCAAGAAAATCCAAACTATCTAAAACAAGAGAGGACGGCTAAAGTCGAGTTTCCCGACTATATTATGCCCGGTACTCATCTCTTCCATCCACAATTAAACTAAACTTTTAAGTTTAAACTTTAACGTTGTGCCTTCTCGGCAAAAAATGTTTTTTACATACTTTTTTGCTTGGGCAACAAAATAAAAAAACAACTGTATCCCCTCTCTAACCACCTACTACCGAGTGTGCTGCATTTTAATATGGTAATGGAATAGTTTGGCATCAAATCATTTACTAAAAACATTAACAAACTGGCGCTACAATGAGATTTCTGTTTTGAAGGCGGGAGTGGGTTTGGCACAAACTTGATCTGTGCGGATATCATATGAATCCAAGTTCCAAATCGGAACTCTTATAGTCTTCGAGATCCATGTTCAAAATTTTTAGCCGTTCGTATGGGAAATTAAATATCTGTATATATGGGTATATCTCCTCTAAAAATCAACAGATTTGGCTGAAATTTTTTTTTCAAAAATATATAAACTATAGAAATAGTATAGAAACTATAGAAAAATTAACGGCAGCATTGCTGCATCGATTTTTTTACAATTTTATTTTTTTTTGGATTGTAGAAGTCCTTCTTTTCATATTTTAAGACTACCTTCCGCACCTAAAACATAATTAATTATAATTAACTCTTTTCCGCTGGGGATTTGGAATATTATGGTATGCCACGCCTTCCGCTATCCCATTGCAGGCATCCGTTTTCTCGTTAATTTCTGGGTGGAATTTTAGTTTCTCCATTGAGGCGATCCTTACGATGCGCCGCTTCCTCATTTATAGACATTTAGATGCAAAGTTTCTGGCATAAAAATGGCGTGCCATATAATCGTAATTTTCATCTGCATTTCATTGTTTGCAATTGTGAGGAGGCGTGGCCGGCCGTAGTTCTGACTTCAGTTGGCGCCCTTTCACCTCGCGGCCAGTTTTCAACGAGCCCGTTATTCTCTATTTTACTTTTAAGCGGTTATGTGGAGGAAACCCAACGGGTCCGAGGGGAATGTTATCGGATTAGGAGACAAAGTCTGGGTTTTGTAAGAGTGCCGCCCGGCATTTCAACTGGCCATTTTGCCGTCTGCCACACTGTCGTCGCTTTCTGGTTGCCAGTGCATAATATTTTATTGGCCTTGCTCCAGTGCAATTTATGAACTAGAAAGTACTTTTTTGGATTGTTGAAGAGAGGTGAGGTCCTTAAAATATTATGCCCTAACCTTAGTTAAAAAAGCACGTCCAGTGTGGAAAATGAGCACTCATTATACTTATCTTTACCAATTGGTAAAATAAAAAAAAGAAAGGAAAGCTAACTTCGGGAGGAGCCCTTACTGTTAAAACCGGATTTATATCGGAAAAATCGAATAAAGTTGACCAATTATTATGAGAATATCATAATATAACCAACTTATTACAACACAAAAATTAAAAAAAGTCCCAAACTTCTATCTTCAAAACAAAAAAGTTTGTATTTTTACCAAATACCAAACACCATTTCCGATCTTTCAATTATGTATATGGCAGCTATAAGGTATAGTCGGTCGATTGTTATGAAATTTGATAGGTCGGATTAACGGACCAAAAATATAATCTGTACGAAGTTCCAACTTTCTATCTTCAAAAACACAAAAGGTGGGTCATTTCCGATCGTTCAGTTATATGGCAGCTATAGGATATAGTCGGCCGATTCCTATGGAATTTCAAACCCCAATTCCACAAACCCAAATTTATATACGGTTGCAAGACATACATGGTAGTTATGTAGTATGGAATGTAGTCACCGATTCCGTCCGGTGATGACTCCTTTAAAATTATAAAATCGGGTGCAAGGGTATTTCCCATCTATCATGCGATTGTTAATTCGACAGCACCTTTCATATTTTTAGAAAGGACTGCTGAAGGTTCTTTAAGTTAAGGTTCTTTAAGGTTCTTTAAGTTAAGTTAAGGTTATTTATATCTTCTATCAATTCTTATATCAATCGTAAAAGTTAAGCATTCCCATTACTTTTGTTTTATTAGTTAAATTTGTATTTTCTTAAGCTGACCCGAAACTTTCGGCCGAAAGTCTTTAGCTTGTATGTGTTTTTAGGCTGACCAGAAAGTGACAAGCTGGTATGTTGATAATCTCATTTTTTATTTTAAAACTATAATCTCATTTAAGTTTTCCGTTCTTCTTCGACCCTAACTGTTTTCTTACAATTTGGCGCTGACATGAATGGCTAGGACACCATCGTCTTCAGAGCTGCCGATCGAGATGTTCGCTCGGCCGTCAGATCCAACCGTTACAGTTTTGCCGGTGCAGGAGGAACCGCTTTTGGTGCCAGAGATAACGTCACAGTAGGTGCCGGCGGGGAGACCAGTCTGAAGAGAGCTATTGAGGTCGTAGTTGTCGTTGTTGAAGGCTACAAAGCCCTTGGTACCACGGCTGAATGCGATTTGGTTGCTGCCATTGTCCCACCAGTTCTGGATTTCGTCAGAGCCAACTGTGTTTCGGAACGCAACCATGTTAAAGATCTGGCGCCAACGGTGCTCGCAAACCCAGCCACCGCTGCAAGAATTGTCGCTGTTGAAGACCGGAGACGCGATGTTGTGGCCATCGGTGGTGGGTGGACCCTGGTCAGTGTCGGAGAAGGAGAACGAGGACATGACACGGGGAGTGCCAAAGGGATGGGCCAACATAAACGCAGAGGCCATTTTGTACTGCTTGGCTACCTTATAGGTGAGCACATCCGCACCGCCGGCACCGTGGCCGCGTTGGTTGTCATGATTGTCAACGAAGACGAGCGACCGGTCGGAGGCAGCAAAGCCCCAGGCGGTGCCCCAGTTGGTTAGATACTTCAGCTGATCCTTGCCGCGGAAAACCTTACCGATGGAGTCAGAGTGGCGGAACTCGGTGATGGCTCCAAGGCCGGTGTATTCAGACTTGCTAATGGCCTCGCCACCCATATCGATCACCTCCTGGACGATATAGGCCTTGGCACCAGAATCGAAGCCATGATCCGTGTTCAGGTTCTTGAGGCGGCCGTAGATGGTGCCCAAGTCTGCGGGCCACATGTGCTTGGCAGCATCCACACGGAATCCAGCCACACCAAGGTCGATAAGGTGGTTAAGGAACTCGGCCACCTTCTCTTGAACATAGGAGTTGCCTTGGTTCAAATCACGGAGACCGACGAGCTCACAGTTACGCACTTGGTTAGCGTCGTTATAGTTGGAAATGGCACAGGTCGGGTTGAAGTCTAGCGAAGAGTAGGGCACACCAGGATAGCTTTTGCTGCTGGGACTGGCAGTGCTGCCACCCGTGCCATAGGTTCCACCATCGGCCGCCATGTGGTTAAAAACGACGTCCACGTAGATGCGCACTCCAGCGTTGTTGCAACGCCGGACCATGGATGCGAATTGTTCCTCATTGCCAGAACGAGTGACAAGCTTGTACGAGATGGGTTGGTAACGTTCCCACCAGGGACGACTGTCTTTTACAGCATTTTCGTTCACGGGTGATACCTGACAACCAAAACCAAAATTTGTCAAATTTTAAGGAACCTCTTTTAAGAATATATCTGACGCACCTGGACACCGGCAAATCCGTTCGGGCCCAAGAAGTTTTCGCATTCAGCTGCAATATCATCCCACTTCCACTCGAAGAGGTGTACCATACCACTGCGGCCTGCCGCATAGTTGGTGTTGAATTGGCCGTTGGCCACCGCCAGGAGGGCGAGGCATACAAGACTCTTCGTAAGACCCCTCATAGCTCAAGTTCTACTCTGAATCAAGGCACCACTTGGCTGTGCTTTTTATAGGGCGGGAACTTGACGTCATCGTTAGCGGCTTGGCAAGAAGATTGATTTGTGATTCAAAATGGCAACGTATGCCATTGCCCAGGTATACGTTATGGGGGGGATCCGTCGGGGTCTATCATGGGCAAGATTAGATACGAGTTCACTGGTTACTATCTGGGGGGTTGCTTTGATTCCAGGCAGGTTTACGACGAATGTCAGATAGATTGAATCTTTTAGATAGCGCTGGCTTTTGCTCCAATGGCTATTAATTAATTAACTCGATTGAAGTTATTTTGAATGGCGGTCAGACTGAGGATCTTGTTATCTTTTACCAAAGTCCTACTCATCACATAGTAAACAAGTTGATTGAAGTGGCACGTTTGGTAATTTACAGCCCTCTCAAAACTGTGATTAAATTCTGTAGGTAAGCGAAAACATTTCTGTTCGGGCCATATTTTTAGCAATGTTTTCGACGATTATCGGATCTTATCGGGCTGACTCAAACGAATTTCGGATTTTACACCTATTAAAATTTTTTTTTGTTTTCGACACCAGTCTGTCCATTTGTTATGTCGTTTCCGATTTATCGGAATCTATTTATCCTTAGCCAAGACGATGATTTGCTGTGGTGCACATTTTTAGCAACATTATAATACTTTAATTATACATACTACACACTGTGAATCACCAGATTACCGCCCTCCTAAGTACATATAAAATATTATTTAAACTATTTATACCTGTATAATTTTGTCTCAATATAAGTCTCAATATATCCACGCCCTTCCGCACCCAAAAATAACATAATTCTATTGCGCCAGTACAGAAAAGTTTTTTGAATAAAAATAGTTGCCAAACTTTTTCTATATCTAATTTATATAATTTTTTTTTTTTTGTGTCAAAATTTTGCCTCGCCCACTTTCGGCCCCAAATCAAAAATTTGTTTGAATACTAACAAATTTTTGGATGTTGGTTGTTGGTGTTTTTTGTGTTACTGTACTTTGAGAGATTCAGGATAACTTCATATATTTATAGCACGTTCCTATAAATACCTAATATTGTAGATGATTACTTTAAGACTCTGATCTAATCTTAATTATGGATATCGACCCGTTCCAATTCCATTATGCAGGGGAGGATCCAAGGTTGCTGGCGCCCACGGCAAAAGCTCAAAATTTGCGCCCCGACCCCTCTGCCTTATGAACGTGACACATAGTTTTTTAAATGAATAACATTCAAAATATTTCAGGAATTTAAAGGCTTATAATTATCCTATGCTCTCTTATCCTATAATTATCCTTATAATAAAATTGTATTTTATTATAATTATTTTGTTACATGCAACATATTTTGCGTTTTTGTACAATATGAAAAATAAATATTACATCTGAAATATAACTTTTCTGGCCTTGATTGACGCAAGATCAGCAACTATATAATTGTAGTCCAGTAATGCCGCAACTTCATTTTCAAATGAAAGTATAGCTAAACTTGGCAGCCTGTCTTCATGCGTAGATAAGATTTTATTCATTTTAGTTTACTGAATGATCGCTCACACGAACCTACTGATAATGGTAGAGTCAGCAAAATGATCAAAGTCGTTACAAGTGTTTTTTAGGACTTTAATCTAATCTCTAATCTACTCTAAACTTTAAAAGTAGTATTCGTTTCTTTTATTTTTTCCATCACTATTCAAAATTTTTAATCTTCTTCTAGGTTTAATTCAGAATCGGTATTTTCTTGCTCATAATTTTTTGAAGACGAAGTCTTTTTTTTGTTATTATTTTATTATTATTTTAATTATTTTTTTTATTAAAAATAATTCCATAAAATTTAGCATAAAACTAACTTCTCTGTTAAAACCTCTATTAAAATATTATAAAGTGTAATTAAAACCTACAGAGTTGTAGTTGATTTGGCTTGCACTGCATGCACTGAAATGCGATGTTAATGTAAACAAACATTACTATAACCTTGCGAATACAACTCTCAAAGTATTATAAGAAAGTTTGTTATGACGTTTGTAGCGCCCTCTTTGCATATGATCACGCATATTTAATAACACTTATTGTATTATATAGTGAATTTTCGAGTTTTCTTAATTTATGAATTTTTAATTCATAAATGAAATTCGGAGCTCGGATACAGCTAGCACCACTTTCTGGTGCTAGTGGGCATATATTTCCGCGCGACATATATCGCAACATAACGACATATCTCCGCGCAGTTTCTAAACATTTTTTACACTACCGAAAATTAAAAAAAATAATTTTTTATTAAAAAAGCTTAAATTTACGCCTTGAAACATATGCATATCAGTGGGGACGGAAGTACACGGGTGACCGCATGCATTAGCGTGCGTGTGCACCATATACAATATACAATATACACCATATACAAACGAAAAATTTAACTTTTTTGGTGTGCTTATTGTTTTCCTTATTCCATTTTTATTCAAAAAATTTTTAAAAGTTTATCAGTTTTGGAGAAAGTTTTGGGTAAATTAAAAGGATTTTCATTCACTAAATTTTTATACCCTTGCAGAGGGTTTTATAATTTTGTCCAAAAGTGTGCAACGCAGTGAAGGAGACATCTCCGACCCTATAAAGTATATATATTCTTGATCAGGATCACCTCCTGAGTTGATATGAGCATGTCCGTCTGTCTGTTTCTACGCAAACTGTTTCTACGCAACATGTCAAATTTGACATGAGAGCTATTTTTGGAAAAATAATACGACATGCCAAATTTCATAAGGATGCGCCGACTATATCCTATAGCTGCCATATAACTGAACGATGGGAAGTGACCCAACTTTTGTGTTTTTGAATATCGAAAGCTGGAACTTGGTACATATTTTACTTTTGGTCAGTTAATCCGATCTACCAAATTTCATAACGATCGGTTGACTATATCTTATAGTTGACATATAACTGAATGGTCGGAAATGAAACTTTCCTTTCTTGTTTTTGATTGAGTTTTAAAAATCCACATGTTTGCATAAAAAACAAGAAAGGACAGCTATAGTCTTCCCGGGAAACTTCCCGACTATATTATACCCGGTACCCGGTACTTTAATTATACATACTACACACTGTGAATCACCAGATTACCGCCCTCCTAAGTACATATAAAATATTATTTAAACTATTTATACCTGTATAATTTTGTCTCAATATAAGTCTCAATATATCCACGCCCTTCCGCACCCAAAAATAACATAATTCTATTGCGCCAGTACAGAAAAGTTTTTTGAATAAAAATAGTTGCCAAACTTTTTCTATATCTAATTTATATAATTTTTTTTTTTTTGTGTCAAAATTTTGCCTCGCCCACTTTCGGCCCCAAATCAAAAATTTGTTTGAATACTAACAAGTTTTTGGATGTTGGTTGTTGGTGTTTTTTGTGTTACTGTACTTTGAGAGATTCAGGATAACTTCATATATTTATAGCACGTTCCTATAAATACCTAATATTGTAGATGATTACTTTAAGACTCTGATCTAATCTTAATTATGGATATCGACCCGTTCCAATTCCATTATGCAGGGGAGGATCCAAGGTTGCTGGCGCCCACGGCAAAAGCTCAAAATTTGCGCCCCGACCCCTCTGCCTTATGAACGTGACACATAGTTTTTTAAATGAATAACATTCAAAATATTTCAGGAATTTAAAGGCTTATAATTATCCTATGCTCTCTTATCCTATAATTATCCTTATAATAAAATTGTATTTTATTATAATTATTTTGTTACATGCAACATATTTTGCGTTTTTGTACAATATGAAAAATAAATATTACATCTGAAATATAACTTTTCTGGCCTTGATTGACGCAAGATCAGCAACTATATAATTGTAGTCCAGTAATGCCGCAACTTCATTTTCAAATGAAAGTATAGCTAAACTTGGCAGCCTGTCTTCATGCGTAGATAAGATTTTATTCATTTTAGTTTACTGAATGATCGCTCACACGAACCTACTGATAATGGTAGAGTCAGCAAAATGATCAAAGTCGTTACAAGTGTTTTTTAGGACTTTAATCTAATCTCTAATCTACTCTAAACTTTAAAAGTAGTATTCGTTTCTTTTATTTTTCCATCACTATTCAAAATTTTTAATCTTCTTCTAGGTTTAATTCAGAATCGGTATTTTCTTGCTCATAATTTTTTGAAGACGAAGTCTTCTTTTTTTTATTATTTTATTATTATTTTAATTATTTTTTTATTAAAAATAATTCCATAAAATTTAGCATAAAACTAACTTCTCTGTTAAAACCTCTATTAAAATATTATAAAGTGTAATTAAAACCTACAGAGTTGTAGTTGATTTGGCTTGCACTGCATGCACTGAAATGCGATGTTAATGTAAACAAACATTACTATAACCTTGCGAATACAACTCTCAAAGTATTATAAGAAAGTTTGTTATGACGTTTGTAGCGCCCTCTTTGCATATGATCACGCATATTTAATAACACTTATTGTATTATATAGTGAATTTTCGAGTTTTCTTAATTTATGAATTTTTAATTCATAAATGAAATTCGAGCTCGGATACAGCTAGCACCACTTTCTGGTGCTAGTGGGCATATATTTCCGCGCGACATATATCGCAACATAACGACATATCTCCGCGCAGTTTCTAAACATTTTTTACACTACCGAAAATTAAAAAAAATAATTTTTTATTAAAAAAGCTTAAATTTACGCCTTGAAACATATGCATATCAGTGGGGACGGAAGTACACGGGTGACCGCATGCATTAGCGTGCGTGTGCACCATATACAATATACAATATACACCATATACAAACGAAAAATTTAACTTTTTTGGTGTGCTTATTGTTTTCCTTATTCCATTTTTATTCAAAAAATTTTTAAAAGTTTATCAGTTTTGGAGAAAGTTTTGGGTAAATTAAAAGGATTTTCATTCACTAAATTTTTATACCCTTGCAGAGGGTTTTATAATTTTGTCCAAAAGTGTGCAACGCAGT